GCGAGGATAATTTTGAATTTGGCACCAATCACGTTTGAGACATGGCGGGGATGAGAAAATTCGAGACTGAGAGGGTAGAAACGCGTCACTTGTTTTCTCTCTCACTCTTATTTATCTAATATGTAATTTTAGATTAAATATTATAATATATTTAACATTAAATATATAAATTATGCAACAAAAAAATATTTATTTTTTTATTTACAATTTATATAAACATAATATTACAATATAAGAATTAAAAATATATATTTTGAAAAAAAATTTATCCCCACCATTTCGAATTAAATAAAAGTGACAAAGATAGAAGAGACGTACGCATGAATTTCATGCGACCACGTGACTAAATTGGCGCAATTTGGAATTTAATTATCATTAAATATGATGCATTACAAATTTGTTTTTACTGTAATAAAAATTAATTTAATACAATAAAAATACTGTAAATAAAATTTTATATTTTAATGAAATTTTCATAAAAACATTTTATTAAATTTTTTCGAATTAATTTTATTCAATACTTTTAAAATAATGCGAGACTAAGAGGGGGTAAAAACACGTCTCATCCTGTTTTCTCTCTCATTCTTATTTATCTTATATGTAATTTTAGATTAAAAATTACAATATTTAGCATTAAATATACAAATTATGCAACAAAAAAATATTTACTTTTTTAATTAGAATTTATATAAACATAATATTACAATATAATGATCGAAAATATACATTTTCAAAAAAAAAAAATTTATCCCCACCATTTTAAATTCAATAAGAGTGACAAAGATAGAAGAGACGCACGCCTGATTTTTGCGCGATCACGTGACAAAATTTGCGTAATTTTAAATGTGACGCATTAAAATTTTTTTCTTTTACTATAATAAAAATTAATTTAATACAATAAAAATACATGCAAATATAATTTTTTAATTTTCATGAAGTTTTCATTTAAAAATTCTTATTTTTATGAAATGAATTTCTTTGAATTAAGGGGTTACACCATTTTGATTGCATGAAAAAATACGTGATTTTAAAGATTTTTTTTTGAAGACAGGAATTTTTTTTAAGGCCAGGTCCAAGTGAGGCAGCGCCATCTACATTGAAACTAAAATTTTGGAAAATTTTCAACAGCCTTTTCTTGAAAACAAGATGATGAAATGCTTTTTCCTTTATGGATAATTGATTATTGGCAAGAGATACACCAGCTAAAACGTTTTTTGAGTTAAAATAATAAAAAAAATTTCATGTCAATAAATTAAATATGAGCACTTTTTTCACAAAAACTGTAACAGTACTTTCTCAGAAACTATAATCAAAAATGCAATTTCCATTTGGAAAATTAATAAACGCTAAAAAATACACGACCTAAGATTTTCCAATCACGAAAATAACAAAAAAAATTTTTAATTAAATATTTAACATATTAATACTACTTTACTGATTGTGACAGCCCTTTGGTAGATTACACAGCCACACAAAAAAAAAAAAAAGTTCTGATCTGGGGGTCTGACTATATATTTTCTATGTCTTTTGGGTCGCTGAATCCGAATCCGAGGCCCATTCAACCCCATCACATCAGGTTTTTGAAAAAACCTCAAAAAACCAAAATGGCGGACACTTTTTTGGAAAATTTATCGGATTCGCTTGAAACTCGCTACTCGGGGGTTTTTGGGGTCGCTGATTACGAATTTGAAGTCAGTTTTCAAAAATTCAAAATGGCGGATCCAATATGGCGGACATTTTTTTGAAAAATTTGCCGGATTTGCTTGAAACTCGCTACTCGGGGGTTTTCGGGGTCTCTGATTACGAATTTGAAGTCAGTTTAAATTTATCATATCAGGATTCGGACATAATCTAAAAAAACCTACAATTTGTGCTATTAAACGCGCGTAATATCTTTAGTTTCAATGTTTATGTTATCACGCCTATTTTACTATATAATGTACCGTCGGCATTTGCGTTACCCAATGTACACCGCGAGGAGGTTGCACGATCGGATTTTGTACATCATGTAGCTCTTAAAAGGGCTGGTTGTTAATGCTATTTGAGGAAAAGTTTTTTTTTTTTGAGAAAAATTTATCACTCTAATTGTTTTATTTTTTTGAACTGTATCTGGTTCTCTTTTCCTCAAAAGATCTATTTAATGGATTTCATTTTCGTTTCATCTCTTGATCTTGTGTTTCTCTTTTTAGCATCCAGCAAAAATCTGCAAGCATGTTAACATCCCAGAGTCCTTGGTAACGAGTTTCAACCACTTTAATGTCTTGGTGAAAACGTTCACCTTGTTCTTCACTGAAATGTCCCAGGTTTTCTGGAAACTCATCGAGATGAGAGAACAAAAAATGCAGCTTCAAGTTCATCAAGCACCCTTGTTTTTCGTAATTTTGAATCAGTTTGGCGACTAGTTCCTTATATTGTGGACTTTTTTTGTTTCCCAGGAAGTTCTCAGCAACTGCTTGGAAACTTTGCCAAGCCGCTTTCTCTCGATTTTTCATCGTTTTAATGAAATTAGGATCCCTAAAGAGTTTCCGAATTTGAGGACCATCAAACACTCCCTCTTTAATTTTTGCATCGGAAAGTTTAGGGAAAATTTGATGTAAGTATTTAAAACATTTGCCAATCTTTCACCTTGTAATGGTGCTCTCGATCTCTACTATCCCATAAACACAAGTAGCAAGGAAATTTTGTGAAGCCAGACTGTTGCCCTAGTAAAATAGTTATAATTTTTAAATCTCCACAAATCTGCCATTTATGTTGCTCGTAGCCAATTTTTTCCAATAGTACTGTCATATTCACATACTTTTCTTGCATCACAGTCGAGTGAGCTATGGGTATAGGAGCATACACGTTAGTATTATGCAGTAGCACTGCCTTAATACTTCTTTTCGAGGAATCAATAAAAAGTCGCCAATCAGTTGCTTTATAGCAATTTTCCTTCAGTTCATTCATGAGGCCATTAATGTCAATGCAATAAACTAGATCTTCATCTTTAACAAAATATTTCCTAAACTCTGACTCTCGATTTCGATAAACAGAAACTTTCGTCTGTGGTTCAAGGAAATTTCTCTGCTTCATAAATGAAGCTAAAAACTCAGCCTTGTCCTTTGGTAAGCCTAAATTTCGTACAAGGTCGTTCAATGCAGACTGTGAAAGCAGCATTGGGACCGATTTTTTAGATTCTTCCCCATAGTCAGAGTCGCTGTCGGTGTCATTGCTCTCAGGTTCATATTCATCAACTTCCATCACTTCAGTATTTTCAAATACGTCAGTGCCTTCGAAGTCACTTTTTTGCTTGGTTTTGACGGATAAAATTGGAGCCTTTACTGATGTCACTGTTTTGTACTCTATCTTCTGTTTATTCTTAATATTAAAAGCTCTACTCACTTTATTAGAGCAAAAAAAAACAGTCACTTTCACGACGAGGTTGGTTCCACTCCGTAGGACTAGAAAATTTACCTTGCAATTTGTCTTTTTTCCAACGATTCAACATTATTCGACAAGAATTACAAATAATATTGGGAACCCATGAATGCTCACCAATAGTCAAGCCAAAAATTTCTTTGTACGTGACTTTTATGTCATCATCTATTTGTTTCCGCAAGGAAGTAACTTCATACTTTGAGCAAATGTAACAAAACACATTACGCCTGCTATCACAGTTGTGAAATGAATTGTTACTTCTTCTTGTCGTATTATACTCTACATTAGCCAAGTTTCCCACCAATGAAGAGCTGCAGTTGCTGGATGACGACGCCTGAGAGCCTGCTTTCTCACTCTCAACCGCCGATACTGGGGTTCCGAGTCCCTGCATCGTAATACGTTTCCTACGTGTGTCTGCCATGACGGCATCAAAGCCATTAATCCAGGGACTTCGCCGGATAGGAGACAAACTCCGTTGCCCACCGTCACCACGTGGAGGTGCCCTGGACGCAGGCACACGCAAGATACAAAGTAAATACGGGTGAATTAAAACACTCAAGTTTTTGATTTCTCAAAAGAACATCTTTATTGGATTCGCCATTTTAAATTTTGTAAATTGGACTTCAAATTCGTAATCAGCGACTTCAAAAACCCTCATGTAACGAGTTTCAAGCGAATCTAATAAAGTTGACAAAAAATCCTGCCATAATGGATCCGCCATTTTGAATTTTTGAAAACTGACTTCAAATTCGTAATCAGAGACCCCAAAAACCCCCGAGTAGCGAGTTTCAAGCAAATCCGGCAAATTTTTCAAAAAAATGTCCGCCATATTGGATCCGCCATTTTGAATTTTTGAAAACTGACTTCAAATTCGTAATCAGAGACCCCAAAAACCCCCGAGTAGCGAGTTTCAAGCGAATCCGATAAATTTTCCAAAAAAGTGTCCGCCATTTTGGTTTTTTGAGGTTTTTTCAAAAACCTGATGTGATGGGGTTGAATGGGCCTCGGATTCGGATTCAGCGACCCAAAAGACATAGAAAATATATAGTCAGACCCCCAGATCAGAACTTTTTTTTTTTGTGTGGCTGTGTTATGTATTTCAGGTGGTTAGCAACAGCGCCAATCTGCTCCTTTCGGCAAAATCGCGAAACGTTTGGTGACATATATAACCTGCCAAACGGCTGTCATAATTAGTAAAATATGTTATGTTAAAAAACTTTTTTTTTGTTATTTTCGTGATTGGTAAATCTTAGGTCGTGTATTTTTTAGCGTTTATTAATTTTCCAAATGGAAATTGCATTTTTGATTGTAATTTCTGAGGAAGTACTGTTACAGTTTTTGTGAAAAAAGTGCTCATATTTAATTTATTGACATGAAATTTTTTTTATTATTTTAACTCAAAAAAAGTTTTAGCTGGTGTATATCTTGCCAATAATCAATTATCCATAAAGGAAAAAGCATTTTACCATCTTGTTTTCAAGAAAAGGCTGTTGAAAATTTTCCAAAATTTTAGTATCAATGTAGATGGCGCTGCCTCACTTAGACCTGGCCTTAATAAAATTAGAATACATAACGTTATTATGCTACAATTAAACTACAAAAAAAATATTTATAAATGTTTTCTTTTTTATTGTCTGTTTGATAGGTGGTTTAGCGCTGCAAAAATCGATGGTCATGCGGTGGGCCAGATAACTCAGTCCAGATTTGTGCTAAAATAAAAAACCAAAAAACATTAGTTTCTGTAGCCCAAAATCTGGAGAAATACGTACACAGTAAACTTGGTTGTATCTTTTTCTATTACAACGTTTTGATGCACATAAGTTATATCAAAAAGAGATCGTTTTGTGTATCATTTTTAGAAATGATACACGAAACGGTCTCATTTTTTGATGCAAAAAATTTAATCAATTTATATCAATCATGGCCGAATTGAATCGACTCAAAATTAAACGAATTTTTTTCAGATATTTTGGTAATAGTACAATTGCGGAGACCATTTCACTATTTAATTTGAAAATGAAAATAACAGAAAATCAAAGACAATGTGCAATTCGATAATTAAAAAGTGACAGCTTATAAACATAACCTAAAATGCATGAGAAAAAATTTGTCGATAAAATCAATATAGCCCAGCTTTTTAGAAGGTAGATGGCAGCACTCATCTATTTTCTTTCTTTAAATTTTTTCTGAATCGTTTTTATAAAAAGCAAAACTGCCATCTACCTTCTAAAAAGCTCGGCTATATTGATTTTATCGACAAATTTTGTCTCATGCATTTTAGGTTATGTTTATAAGCTGTCACTTTTTAATTATCGAATTGCACATTGTCTTTGATTTTCTGTTATTTTCATTTTCAAATTAAATAGTGAAGTATAGTGTTTTTAAATAATTTAACGCAAAATTAAGTTTTTTTTAATAGAACAGCGCGGTGCATTGTACCCAAATCTATCAACCCTCAAAATTTTAGCCTAAAATCTTTTTTCATTTTAGAGAAAGTTGGAATATTGCAAAACACATTTTCTCATACTAGGTCACGTGGGTTTCTCCCACATGCTGTTAACCGAAAAATCATTTAACAAAATTTCTAATTGATAGAATTTTCATTTGTCCGAAATTGCTAATGGCCGAACAAACACTCGACAGAAAGATTTCGGCACGATTTTTTAAAATCAAACAATCACAATTTTATGGATAAGTTTTGATTGGTTGATTTTAAAAATCGCGCTAAAATCTTTCTGTCGATTGTTTGTTCGGTCATTTGTAATTTCGGACAGATGAAAATTCTATCAATTAGAAATTTTGTTAAATGATTTTTCGATTAAGTAAAAATTCTGTAGTATAAAAATTCGGTTATATGGAAATTATATCAAATAATAATTCGAATAAATGAAAATTTATCTGAATGAAAAATCTACGGCAATGAAATTCTACCCAATAAAAATTCTTTAAAATGCCTATTATGTTAAATGAAAATTCGAGTAAATAAAAATTCTGACAAATAAAAATTTGAACTTAAATAAAAATTGTGTGAAGTGAATTTTCAGTTATATAAAAATTCTGTAATATATAGAAAAGCGGTTTGATGAAAATTCTGCAAAATACTAATTCGAACAAATAAAAATTCGGCTCAAAAATAATTATGACAAATGAAATTCTACAAAATGAAAATTCTAAAGGCGCTTGTAGACCTCACCGATCCCTAGTATACTTCCGTCGTGTACCATTGGAGTAAAAGAGACACAATTATCTTTTGTCTCTTTTACTCCAATGCTGCACGACGATAGAATACTCGGGAACGGTGAGGTATACAAGCGCCTTAAATAATAATTTTTAGAACATAATCATGCGTCCCTTGTATATTTGAAAGGAGAGCATTATGTTCTTGATCGAAGAAAGTATGGAATTCGACCAAGAAATTAATCAACTACTATAGAAAATTGAAACAAACAACGAAACTTGCCCTGACAAAATATTGGAATTAAATTTCTATCAGTTTTAATAAGTATCATTCCGGGAAAATTTTGAAATTTGTTTCCGAGTCAATCAGTTCTTATTCAAATATAAATTTTAACAAAGAAAAAAGCTAGTGTTATTTTTGTTGCGGGTAATTTTTTCCAATTTAAAAAACCCATAAGATTTAACACTTAAATAGGTATTTGTCCCAATTTTTATTTCTACTAATTTTTGAGACGCCGAATTCGTACAAATAAAAATTCGAACAAATTAAAATTCAGTGAATTGGAATATCTGCGTTGTTTAAAAATTTCAATTACATTAATTTCGATTGAATAAGAATAAAATTCAGCTAAATTAAAATTCATTTAATGAACGAATCGGCGCAATTGAATTATAGTCAAAAGTGACTAATTCAGATTTAGAGAATAAAGGGAAAATTAGTATAAATATAAAAAAATCTACTCAAAAACTTAATAAATAATACTCTAATAATATTAAAACTTTAAATAAAACTCATTTTCTTTTTCCCCTTATTAAAAATAAGATTTTCTTTGTACTCCGTAAAATATAGAGAAATGTAACGATTAGTTTTTCTCCGTCTTGTTTCTTTATATATACAATTTCTTCTTATTACGTTCCCAATGGCATCGTAATGAAATACTTATTATTATCATCATCATCGTATTTCTTGGCGAATGGAAATTGTATATAGAAAGTAAAAGTCTAATAAAAACCGCGTGTAAATTTGACGGAGAGATAAAATGCGAGCTTTTGATTCTGGTGAAGGAGCTTCACGATAGTTATAAATATATATACTGCGAAAAATATACACGCTGCAGTTCTTTGAATTCTTAAGGCATTTCTCTTTAGAACACGTGTTTGTGAAAAAAGGAAAGCTCGACACACCCGTGCGCGCATTCCTATTTGTATACGCTTCGGAGGGGACCATTAATTCAAATTCATTTATGCGAGAGACGATATTTAAGTTTGTGTGTGTGTTTTTTTTTCGTATTTTCGTCGTGACCCAGCATATAAGTTCATCTGTAAAGTCACTTGAAAAACTCTTTTTGACAAAAAAACAAATCATATTCAAATTAATAATGATGGTATCAATTTTTGAAAATTTTGATTAAAAATATTGTAAATTATATTAAAAGATCTTTAATTTTTTTTTGAATCGTTATAGAAATTAATGTAAAAAATGTTAACGGTTTTTTTTGTATCGATCTGATCTTTATAATTGCCAAATATATATATATATAAATTATCAATTAGAATTTTTATTTTAAAGTATTTTATTAGAAATAATGATTATTTATACGAATTTTCAATTTTCGAATTAAAATTTGACAGAATTTTTTTTTAAACAAATTTTTACTTAACAGAATTATTATGTATTTAATTTTTATTGTACAGAATTCTTAAAACGCCGAATTTTTATTTGTCAGAAATTGCGAATGTTCGAACAAAAAATCGACAGAAAGATTTTTAGTGCGATTTTTAAAATTCACCAATTAAAAAATTATCAAAAAAATTGTAATTGGTTAATTTTAAAAATTGCGCCCAAATCTTGCTGTCGATTGTGTGTTCAGTCATTTGTAATTTCGGACAAATGAAAATTCGGTGTCTTAAAAATTCTATCAATTATAAATTTGTAAAAATAAAAATTCGGTGAATTAGAATTTCTGTCATATAAAAATTCATGATAAATTCTATCCGTTGTAGTGAGTTTTTTACGTGCCAGAAGTTAGCAACGCCATTTCGTTTTTTTGAAAAAACAATTTTTGTGCTAATTTGTGCCGCAAAAAGTTTTTTGAAAAAATAAAAAATTAAGGGGCAAAATTAAAAAAAAAATTTTTATGAACCAAAAATATTATTTTCTTATAATAGAAAACAAATATTAGTGATCAATACTATCAACTCATTACAATAAAATGCAATCAACAAAGATGAGATAAAAAAAATTTTTTAAAATGAAAAATTACACAAAAAAATTTTTTCATAACCTTAACATTATGAAAAACACAAATTTTTTAGAAGCAATTTCTGTGCTAAATTGTACAAGATTGGTATTAAAAGACCCTCCATTAAAATTTTTAAAACATTTGTATATTTTTCAAAACAATTCAATTTTTAATTAAATAAACGTACCTAAACCTGACAACTTCAAAAGGTAATATTGTTAGAAAATTATATTTGTGCTGAATTGTGCATGACCAGCACAAAAATAAACTCTAATAACTTTTTATAAAAATATCTTTATTTTCCAAAATAACTAAATTTATAATTTAAAAAATAACGATCATAACCAAAAAATTTTCAAAAATTAAAATTTTCAGAAACTAATTTTTTTTACTGAATTGTGCATGACCAACACAAAAATAAACTCTAATAACATTTTTCAAAAATATTTACATTTTCCAAATCGACTCAATTTTTATTTTAACAATAACAATCATAACCAAAAATTTACAAAAATAAGAATTTTTAGAAATTAATTTTTGTGCTGAATTGTGCACGGCCAGCACAAAAATAAACTCTAATAATATTTTTTTAAATTATCTATATTTTCCAAAACAACTAAATTTTTAATTGAACAATAACGATCATAACCAAAAAAATTACAAAAATGAAAATTTTTAGAAATTAATTTTTGTGCTGAATTGTGCACGACCAGCACAAAAATAAACTATAATAACATTTTTTTAAAATAATTATATTTTCCAAAATAACTAAATTTTTAATTTAACAATAACAACCAAAAAATTACAAAAATGAAAATTTTTAGAAATTAATTTTTGTGCTGAATTGTGCACGACCAGCTCAAAAAATAAATAATAATAAATAAAATTTTCTTTTGAGGTTTTTAAACAAAATTTTGTTCTTTCTTCGTCATTTATTTCTTTTTATATATTATATATACATTTTTTATAGTAACCAAACAAAAATATATTTTGTTTCCATGAAAATATTTTAAATTCTACCAAAAAAAATTCTTCATAATTAAATTTTTTTTCTATTTGAATTTTATTTAAAAATTTAATGTTACAAAATTAAACTATACATCTATACAAAAATAATCTACACCGTAAAATTAGTTTTTAATTTAATTTTTCATTCTGTTCTACATTGTAAAACTCTACACACAAAAAAATGTTATTTTTTTAAAAATTAAATTATTAATTCTACGCTATTAAATTCAACTATAGATATAACTCTACGCAAATAAATACGTAAAATTTATTAATAAGAA